TGATTTATTTTAGAGGATCAGGTGAGAAAAATGCGTTTCCTGTGGGAATTTTTATTGCAGTTATTTTTGAAAATATCTAGAAGAATTAATAATTATGAATTCCTACATATCTTTTTTGCGAAGACATTTTTAGAAACGAAAGTAGTAAAAATTGCAAGTCCAGATGTGACTTGACATAAGTAAAAACATCTGTTAACTTAGACCTGCTGTCCCAAATCTAAAAAAAATGCATACCTTGTTGCAACTTATCTGTATTCCGTCAAAAAGCGATGTAGCTAATAATATCCATTGCAATCGTTGGTCGGTGTCTGATTTGTTTTATTCATTATGTCATTTTCGATCTGTTTCACTGGATCACGTCTTGACAAATTTCAAGCATGGTCTGATCAAATGGTGACCTGTCAAAGAAACCACCGTCTGTATTAATTTTATTGTGTTAACGTGGTTTTATTCACTTGTGTGTCGTTATTGTCACTTACTATCACTACTCTTACTCACAGTATACAGAGGTTATTTATTTGCAGCTAATTGATGTTAGTTGCAATTATTCTAATAGAAACGCATAAACAATATTTATGTGTTTATTTGGAGTAAACAAGCGTACCGATATTTAATTTTAACCCGATTCTGTAGACAGTTTTCTTCTACTAGTCGTGTTGATTTACTATTTTCCTGTCCTGCACTAGCCACGATTTTAAGTTTTTGGCAATAGGTGTAACAGATGTACCACAGCGTCTGGAAAGAACTGATGTCCATATAAATCAAAATTGTTAAACCGGTTGCAAGGGTTTGATATACGTATGAAACTAACTGCACCCGGAGTGGATTTATGCATGTTGAACGGACATTATTTCTTTGTATGTTTCACGTCTATATTGCTTTTTTCAGGTGTATGATGCTTACTGTACACAAAAGCTAACTTTCAGCTTTTTAATAAACTCCTGTTAAGGCAATTAATCCGGGAATTCGAGCGGAATTCTTAGCTGCAAAGTTTTATTAATCATGGAATCCTTTAATTTAATTAGCTGCTATCATGTCAAAATTAATTCCAGTGTAATTAATGGAACAATTTACATGTTGCTAATTTATAAGCCTTTCAATACACACCGACTTGAGTTTTGACAGTTCGTACAACTAGTTCCTGAGAGAAATAATGATTTACCGCAGAACATCCACATCTTTGATATAGTTACAACTTTAGAGATGTTTTAGCTGATCCTATGGGATGAAGGTTTAATTTAATTTCGAAATTACATTTAGCTAAAATTCGTCGCTTTAAATGACGAATTTAGCAATTAGAGCGACAAATTAATATGTATTAAGCGAACGATACCTCTTTTGCAATTTACTGTAACGATAAAAGTGCACATTTAATTGAATCAATTTATTATCGTCGCCATTCGACGTTCCACAGATGACTCCCCAACGTAAAAACACACATATTTCAGTAAGTTCACAAAGTTTAGTGGCACAGTTTACGTTTTCAACGTGTAACATCTTGGCGTCCAGACGCTTTAACATCTGCGTTGACCGTGCTTGACGCCTTCGGGAAGCCACAACATACGTTGCGCAATATTTTTGTCTGTTAATACACATAAATGTTGCTAAATGGATGAATTTGTTTCCAAATAAAAATACTTGTTGCTAAACATAATTTACTACATCGGAGCTTGTAAACAACTGTAATTGGAACGTTATAGCTTTTTTAATAGGACAGTTTAGATTTATCTGTCTGTCATTATGGAATTAAAAAACATCATAGAAATAACAATTAAGAATAATAACAACACTTCTTTTATATTTTCTGTTGACGAGCGATTCCGATGACTCATCCAAGGTGAATCACCTTTGGAACTTTCGGATTAAGAAAACGAAGACTTTTCAAAAACAAGTTATTTTTGTGTTTCTCAGAAAGTTATTGATGTCTTTGTTGATGCGGTATTTCTTAATCGGCGGACGATGCGGATAACTTCGCTTTTCCAAAATCGCTGTCAAATGTTTACGAGACAGTCGTTTTTCGTTTTTTACTGTGTAATTTTTGATTTACGAATGAGTGAAAGAACGTGTATTTTACTTGTAATTTCTGGAAAACAATTCGAATTCCTCAGGAAAACTCGTAAAATCCAGAAATAACGTTTTATGAAGAATTTTTACATCTTGTTTTGTTTTTATATTCGTTGTATTGTTGCCATACCAATAACATTCATAAACAAGCTTCTTTTTCACAAGAAGTTTTACCCAAAACTTTTATAAACATGCAATTAAAATTTGGATAATGTTATCGCGTTGGTGCACTTTATCTCCAAAAAATAATGTACAAAAAAAAAACAAAATATAAAGTTATATTTATTATATTTATTTTTATATATGTGTACTTCGTGGAGTTATGTTGATTATAAACAAATAATTTCACTAATAACACGACCACGATTTGAAACAATTCAACGAGTAGTATTGATTAGTTACCGAACCACGAGTTAAATTTGAAAGGGAACATATGAATGCCCATTTTGTGGTCAGTTCTATATTTACTTACGTAACAACGAAATTTATCAAAATGCGAAGACAAAGTGATTGTGGCTACTTTTGCGCTTAACTGTCCCATTTAGTTTGTGCCAGTTAGTAATTAAAAAAGAACCATCTGAAACATGCAACCAGTTTGAGATGTACAGATTTGCCCCATTTGTAACTGTATGAAGTTGTGGATCGTACCCTACATTTTAAATTTAAATTTGCAATAAATCTCCGTGATTCCTGGCTAGCACATTATACGTTATGATTGCGCTTTAAAGCGGGTTGTTACGGGTAAAATTTTGCCACAATATTTTCTTGGTTGGCCTAGTTATATGCAAAGATGATGAAAGTTACTTGTTACGTGACTAACGTGACCATCTGGTACCAACTCCGGTAAACAAGTTAAAGTAACGTCAAAATACATTGCGGCTAGCATTGAAACCGTTCTTTGTGACGAAATGCGACCAAGAAGATTTTACGTTTATGACCTTTAGGCCGACCACGCATAACCTGGTTCATTCATAAGTTTACTTTTAAAATGGCCGCCTTCAGGTGTCGGCGTCGACCGAAACATTTCACTTCCCCTATAATTATACAACTCGGTTGACATTAAGGTGTGGATTAGACTTAACGCCTACTGGTCCGATCCAATTTTTAAGTCGAATGCGATTATTTGCATACGCGTGGGTCCTCAATGTTGCAGGACAAGTGTATTTCAACTACGCAACTTCTCGCGATTTTTGCCACCGTGAAGTTTTTCTTGGGAATAAATCACAAGGGCGGAGATTTTTTCAGTTCGTAACTTTCAGCTCTAATCGTAATGCCGCAAGCGTTTCAGCCAACTTCGCTTCGTGTGGGAATTGCCCGAAGTGTTTCAGATTTAAACGAGATAATAAAGATATGAGACGCAAAGCTCTTTTATTATCCTTTGGTTTTTATGCAGAAAAATCGCGATCAGATCCGGTTTCACTTGGAACTGGTTACGCCTTCGTATTGTGGAAAACATTTCGAATGTAAGTTCAGTTCAATTCGTCCTTGTATTCGTTCAATGCGTTTTGTTAATTATTGTGGTACTTCCTCGTCTACTTATGCAATGCGAAGGTGTTTTTGATCTATTGACGTGTCCGAATTTTCGAAGAATCGTGCGGACGTTGTTCGAATTTTTACGTTCGCAATGGTACACAATTTTGTTGATGGTGTAGGAAGAACGTGTAGGAGACCGGTAAAACAGTGAGTTTTTTTTGAAGTGCGATAACGATTATAATGTGTGGATCTTGACGCCAATATTTTTTTTGTTCGGTGTCGTATAAACCCACATTTTAAAAACATTGATTATTATGGTTTAAATTACTGTTACTTCACATACAAAAACCAGATTTTTCGAAATAGATCTACTACCAGAAAGGTTATTAGTACTTAAATAATAAATAATGTTTTATTAGAACCCAGTAGACATGAAGTGTCCAGACAACATCGTACAAAAAAAGAACAGTTCTCATACATTGACATAATAACGTAATAATTAATTCCTGAATGTACTAAATAATATGTACATATTATACACTCAATATTTTTAAATTCTGACGTTGATTTAATAATAAAGCTAAACATTTTAATAGCACGTTTCGTTATGTGATCCATATGTTGCACAAATGGCAATCTGCAATCCATTTCTTCCTTTTCGCGTAAGTCATAATTTCATATTTTCCAATATATATAATTCTAAGTTATTACTTCTACATCAGTGTCCTTATCACTATTCACAGTCATACAAAGCTTTAGATAATCTATATTCAACAAAAACTTACAATTAGTTAAATCTTGGACTAGATCATTTGCAAAGTTAATGATCATAAGCGGGCCTAAGTTAAATCCTTGACCTGCGCCACTCTTGCAGTGGTATAATTTTCATGTAATAAACGTATGTTCTACAAATTGTGATCTTTTCTTAAAAATATCAATTTTTTAATTGGCTCTTATTATTAGCCTGATTAATACAATATTGCAAGATCAGTCGTAGATATACACTTCGCTCAAGTTAAATATTGTGCATCCCCCTTGTAATAAAAGTTCATGTTGTTCGTTCACCATCTCTACCACAATGGCATTAAATATAGGTATATACTTTGAGAAAATGTATTCCAGTAATTTAGATAAGATATGGGCTTATATAATTTTTTATCACCCGAAATAATAATTGAATTAAAGATATAACAAAGTGGTTGTAGCTTTTCGCAAAATATTTACTCGAATGCAGATACTGTGTGAATCTGCGTTAGTTCCTTTTTGGTCATAAAAAACCGAATGTCTACCTGGTAATGAGGCTAGCAATTGATTTTTGTTATTTTAGACGTGTGAATTATTTTCACAGGCGGTATGTTTAGAGGAGTTTATTTATTTAAAACATTTTACATATACTCTGTGTGTATTTATTGTTTTTGGTTTTTCTTTTTGCGGTGAGTTTAATTGCATAAATATTTTTCCAGAGTCAAATCACCGGAGTGAATCGGGTTCGGGATTTTGGCAGCTCCAATTAGACCGAGACCTGGTGGATACCATCTCCGCAATTTACCCGGAGTGGTTCCAGAACAACATGGCCGAGGGTGGATCGGCTTCGACCCCGCGGGAGTCGCCGCCGAAAGCGGTTATAGACACGTCTCCGCTGCACATAGATCAAAACAAAGAATGTAAGAGCTATATTTGATTACAATTTAAGTTGTTGGCAAGATTTTTTTTTGTGTTTAACATGCCAAGAGCATTGGAGTGTGTGGCATAACATTTTCAATAAAAGTTGCGTAATGATTAGAATACAGCAAGCGGGAGCCTACGTCCCTTGTATTACTCCTACTCACGTAAATTGTTTACGTTATACAAAACGAAAGTGAATTTGGTGTTAAAAACAGTATCAACAAAACAGTGAGCCGGTTGACGCATTACGTAACTCGTACGGGCATCCAGTCGGTCTTGTGGCTACATTTCCGGATTGGACCGGAACATGCGGCCATGTGCGATATTGTGATGGCGATGGTAATCGAGTACGCGAAGTAGCAGTTGTCTGTTGACCCCGCTAGGTCAGTGTCGGATATCGCACGCTTTGTTTCTTCCGGAGACGTGTGCCGCCTTGACAATCTCACACTTCTTCAGTCGCGGCCGTCGCAACAACATGTTCTCTCATGCTCTTCTCTTTTGCAGCCCTAAAGGTGAAGTTGATGCTGAGACGGCCATTCGATCAGCTGGTCGCACAAGGAATCATGCCTCGTAAGTCTCCATTATTAATGACCCGCATTAGTTTTGTCCGCATCATTAATCCCCGACACTAACTCCATATAACAAACAATGGTGTCGTGAAGACGCGCTAATTTCGTTAACCAATTTAGTGCAAACGATTGGTTTGACTGATGCGTTGTTTTTCCTGTAGCTCACAAAACGCCCGCGGCATACCACGGCCAGCGCCGGCAGTTGGAGCGGGCGAAAACGGGCGACATGCTGAAGGCAAAGATCCAACAGAGGCCTCCTCGGCAAGAACTCGAAAGGCGGCACATTCTAGAGGCAGATCCAGGTCACGTAGATCCCAGTTTGGCCGAACGCCAACGAATGCTCAAAAAAGCGCGCTTAGCCGATCAACTCAACGACCAACTATCACATAGACCCGGTCCCCTTGAACTTATCCAGAAAAACATCCTTCACACTGAGGAGCCCATCGAGCAGGCTGTCAAGACCGGTCGAATACCCTACAAAGCAACGAGCGAAGGCCAACTGAATCGTCCGCAGCACCCCCAGAGTTACGTCAATCCCGAAGACGACTCGCAAAGTTCCGAAGGCGATAATATCGTCAGTCCTGGACCTAGTGATGTTTTAGAGACTGCGGCAAAGTCTGCAGGTATCGTTGTGTCCCTCATACCGGCTACCGAAGGAACCGTGGTGGTCACGACCGCGACTCCGGTGTTAAATAAGGACAGCAGTGAAATAGTGTTCGCCGATTTGTGTAGATCGGTGACGGCACCCTTGCTGCCTCAGGTCTCGGCGTCGAGCCCTGCGTCCCTAGTGTCTTCCACATCCACTCTTAGTCCGTTGTCGTCGGTCGCTAGTCCTGTGCCTTCAGTTGTTTCACAACCGGCAACTCCGGTACCCCCGCCACCGCCAGTAGTACTTACTCCCCGTCCCATTCAGTCGCCTGCCAAGAGCGATGCGCCCGGAAAAGATAAAAATAGGAAAAAATCAAAGTCGAAGTCGGCTCCGAAGGCGCGTACTATTAAATTCCATGAATACAAAGGACCACCAAGTGCTCAAAAGAACACAAACAATAACTCGAGCACCGGGGAGAGTTCTTATGATCTCCTGCTTCAGCAGCAAACTTTACTCTTACAATTTCAATTGCAACTTCAACACAAATACCCGCAAATAATACTACCGGCATCTCAGAAAACATCCAATGAAACCAACAACAACAATCCATTACCATCGCCCTCTCCATCGACGTCTTCAGAATCTTCAACACCCGCCAGACTCACTGGTAGATTAGAGGACATGAAGGTGAGCGATTTGAAAGCGGAGCTCAAACGACGTAGTCTACCAGTCTCCGGATCGAAACCACAATTAATCGAAAGACTCAAACCTTTCACCGGTGGTTCAGATTTGATGAATCAGAATATTTCCTCTGTAGATTCAGTGCACAGCAATTCGAGCATAGAGCAGTCGCATAACTCGCCGCAATATCAAGAAGTCGGCTCCCCGCAAGATTCGCTCAAAGATGAACCCGCCGAACAAATGGAAATCGGAGATCCCATGAGCCCATTACCGCAACAACAAATCCAAGAGCAGTTTCAACAGCTGAAACAACAGATCGCACAACAACAACAAAATCAAGAAAACATGCTGATTTCACAGAATTCGCAAAAAACCCAAGAAGATATCGTTAGGGAGCAGCAAAGGCAAATCGAGGAACTCCAAAGGGAGTTGACGTTGTCGAAATTGCGATTACAGGAGGCCACGCGCACCGAGCCTAAAGCTCAGTTGTTGGCATTGCAGAAGCACCTTCAAGCCAGACAGCAGCAGCAACAGCATCAACAGCAGCAACAAATCGCGTTGCAGATGCAGCAGTTGCAGGCGCTGCAAGCTCGACAAGCGCACCAAAACGAAGAGCAACAAAGATTGCAGCAACAGCAGCACGTCGCTTTCCAAAACCAGAAGAACATCGCCGGCGGTTTGGTCTTGAACGGTGCCGATGCAGCTTTAGTTTTTAATTTGATGCAAGGCAAAGCGAAAGTAGTCAACGGTCATAGCAGAACCCATTCTCTACCAAGTTTTTTGAATTCCATTGTGACACCCGTCATCGCGGCACCGGAAGTGAAAACGGAATACATCGAAGACGTTAAACCACCCCCGCCTCTGTACGAAGAAGCTACTAAACAGATAAACAAGAAAAATAACGTCAAGAGTCAAATTGTGGACGACGTTTTGGAAATACTCATAAAGAACGGCGAGTTGCCTCCTAGCGCCGCGCAGGATCCGTCGACTCCAGGGTCAGCCGGAACCAAAGCGAACGAGCCCGTTTTTCCCACGCAGAATCCGAGTCAGCAATCGGTGGATCCGAACAGTCCGGAGGCGGCTTTGGGTTTAGATCCGACGGAAATTTTGGACAGTTTGGACAATCTGGACAGCATGGATTTCACACAATTCGTGATGGAGTTGGGCGATGGTAACCATCATCATTCGGATAATAATAATATGCAAGACGATCACGAGCAGATGTCGGTGCCAATGGATACCGACGATTGGTTGGAGTCGTTGTGCGTGGAAAACGGACAGAACGGTAACAACGGTTCGTGTACGGCTCCGTTGGCGTCGCAGGAATCCGATTTAGTGGGTTACGATCCTTTGCTCGGTATAACGCAAGATCCTTTCGATCCATTCAATTTGGATGAGTTTCAGTCACCTGCCGATTTGACCGCATCGCTGTCTTGGGACAAAGTTGACTATGCTGCGTAGTTTTTATGGTGCGCGCTGCTTGGTTTATTGTATTCGATTTCGGTGCCGCTTATATTCCAGTGATGTGCGATTCCACTCGGTAAGAAATTGACATTCCACGTGCGGCCGCCAAGATCGCCAGAGGGCGCGGGACCAGGGCGGCCCCAATCGGCCAGGGAACACATCAACAGATGATATTGTATATATATACTTGTAGTGTTAGATAACGCTTAGGATTTACAAATTGAGCACGAGGTTCTAAACGATTTTTAAAGAAATGGCAATAATGTTGACGAAGCGGCGCGGAATTGAGATAAATCGGAGACGGAAACATTATGCCAAAAAAATTATACGTGTTGTGTGTAACTCCACAATGTATTCCTATGTACTACATTTCCTGTACAAATTGCTCATCAAAAACAAATGACAAGTTTTTTACGGCAATTTTATTTCAACTTGAACCAATGTTTGGAATTATTAAAATACTCTTTTCGTAAGTGCCTCAGGTAGCAAAGTTTTTTTTAGTAATTTTACTGTATCTTACGTGGGCTGAAAGTATGAATGTTTGGTTATGTGACTTTATTTCAAAATAGGTAGGGTGTAATTTTTATGTATCAATTATCCTAATTTATATGTATATTTTGCATTTGACACAAGTGTATTTATTAAAATTTATTTTAATAATTGTACTTTTTAGGGACTCGGATGGCTGCTGAAATTTATTATTGTGATTATATTCTATTTGTAGTCGTTTTCTTTTCCGATTTATCTTTTTGGTATATTTAAATGGAATTTAAGTTTAAAACTGTTTAGAGCCAAGTGTCAATGTCTGACTACCTGTACAGATTGTTTTCTGACAAAGCCTTTAATTGTTAAATTATTTCGAATGTTAGACATTTATTTTGTTGACTATTTGTATTTAGGCAGCCGTGCCTGGCTGCAAAAGGAATGTCGCGCTCTTAGATTGCCTAATTTATTGTATGAAATAAGAACTTGAGATGCCTTACGATGATTATTATACATTGCCTCCTTGTGTTTGAATATGTTTCAACCCATACTGCCCGAGTGAAACATTTTACAAAATGCTGCAATATTTATAAACAGTATGAGGGTGAAAAGCTTCAATCATGATGTAATAAAAATGTAATTAATTAATCGGTAGTTTTTAATTACTAACATTTTAGTTACAAACAAAATACTTCCTAACCTTATATTTCACGTAAACTGCTTCGTATTTGTTTATATACACAGTGATAAATTATACAAGTTCCTCGTAATAAGCGAACTGTACCCGTTAAACTCACGGGTCAATATTTGCCACGGATATAATATTCGGGCCAATGCGAATTATGTATTTATTTAGTTAATAATTGCATTGTCTGCTTTCGAATATAGTCAGACAAAGGCTAATATTGTTGCATACATGTTATACTGGTATACCTTTTTAGAAGAGTGACAAAGTACTTTCGGACCACATTTAAAATATATTTTTCTTTGTTAGAATCGAATCAAATCTACTAACACACTATGGTAAGTATATGTATTTTTTAATTTCAATATTTAATAGACCGAATTATAACTACTGCACTTTATTATTAATAGACAATGAAAGCAACAGTGTTTGTCAAAAATTTAAAGCTAGTGTTACATTATTACTGACGTAGTTATAAAATCTAGGGTAGCTATAACCATGGAAAGTACAGTGTAGCGGTGATTTCTGTTTATATTTGGTGTACAAACAAACTGCAAGTGAAGTTTCAACTCCAGTTCTTCCGTCATTAACATCAAATCTGAATGTAATTTCCTGATTAAACACATCGATTTTAATTTAAGGGTAACATTCCGTATAAATTGTAAACTTTGCGTGTATTTAAACACAGTGCTAGCTATTTTATATTTTTAACTTTTTTATAATCTTAAAATTTTAACTAAGTATACAATAAAAACAGAAGGGCTCATTTTTCACTGGACGTACTTCATAATTTTTTGAGTGACCATAACTCGTTTGTAAGGTATTTAAATAATTATGGAAATTTCCCTTACTTCTGAAGTAAAATCGATTCATTTCACAACCTATTTTTCGATAAAAAAATATGAATTAGGTTTGAATGAAATTTAGTTAATCTTTTTGCCCGCAAGACATTTTGAGGAAAAACATATAGATATACTAATAATTATGTCAATACACCGTTATTAAATTTGTGAGAACTGTTTTATGCAGATCAAAAGAAAATGCCATCTACCATTATACCGTTCCGATAGTACAGTTTCGGGCAGAAAATCTTGGCCAGTATTTTTCTGTCATTTAAAAAAACACGATGTAGTCTATACTTTATTGTCATAATGATTGACATTTTTAAAAAATAAATTTTGAGGTACGTCATCATCCACATTCCAGTCTCCGTCAAAATGAGAAACATGGCAAATTTGAGATTAAAAGTACGTAAAGCCTGTTTTAGAGCTCATGTCACTGGAGTGACAGAACTGCCCAAGACTTTGTGGCCGAAACTGTAAGACGTTACCATGAATACTTTGCGTTGTTCAGAAGAAGCGATTCTTGGTCTAAATGTCGTAACAGCAAAACTCACATTGGTACTAGTTCTGAAAAGAACTGAATTTGCGGTTTGCACACAGAAACAAACTAAAAGATGACTAACAATAAACCGTGAAAAATTGATACGTAAGTGTAGGAAATGTTGTCAAGTCAAATGTCAATTATCTGTCAACCTGACTGCATTTAAGATAGTAATGATGAAACCATTCATGTTATAAAGTATATAAAAAATAAAATAATGCATAAAATGTATTCAAAGGTTTATTTATTATTCTGCATTAAATGCACCTATTTATGTTACCATTTTGGTTCTCCATAAACAGTGAAGTTGCAAAATAATACATTGCATTATATTTATTATCATAAGTTAATTGTGTTGATTCCTGTCTTTTTCTGGAATCTAGTAAAATTGATGGTAATCATCTTCTCTCACGTAATACCGCATTGAAGTTGACTCCAGGTTTAGAATGAGTCCCTGTTCCGAAGCTCGTTTTCGATATTTATGAGATGGCTTACCTACCTGTCCCAACGTAAACTGACCTCAATTTAAGTCAACAAAACACGAATCCAAACCCAAGTCACAAGGTAATTTCATTCTCGTAATAACCGAAAATTAAATGTTGCCAAATGTTACGTACACTTGCAAAAATATAGTGTTTCGTCTACGGGATAATTATAAAAGATTGTATATCAAGTTGCTCTTGGCAAATTTGTCGCTGCATTGTTGATAAGAATTTGCCGCTTTATACTTATTTCACCAGATAATTTATTATAATTTAAAAATAAAATAAAGTTCCATTTTACTGCAAACAATTTCCCACATTTTAGAAATAAGGTTCATAGTTTGACATTGCGATGGGCGATGAGTTGTCATTACAACGAGGCGGGAAAATTCACGAAATTTCAAAGCCAACTTTTATCATAATCGTTGTATTTATATGATCCACCGTTGTCCAAAATAACCATTTGTTTCCAAAAAAACTTAGATCTCGTTATAGGAACTGCTAAATTGTTCCATAACCCAATGGTGTTCTTCATGTCGTTACCACACGGAGAAAGCATAACAATTCCAGCTAAAAGGTTCTGCGGAAAATAATCAGTAACTAAAAATCCGGAGATAGTAAAAAGCCGAAATCCGGGTATCGTAAATATTGTTCGCGTTGAGGCGCCTCCACCATTCGGTATGTGCAATTTTGCAAGAGTAGTCGGAGCGCCTCTTTGCACAAAATGGGGACCATCAAGAGATTTTTTTCTTTATCTATATCATTCCCAACCACTACAAAGCTCGAACGTGAGTGACTTTATTCGTAAACGCTGCTGAATGGAAATTCTTAAACGAGCGTATGCTGTTTTACTCAAGATGACATTCTTAAAATTTATGATATTCGCCATTGGGCATATGCCAATCCCAAACCTATTTAACAAAGTCATTTTCCGAACTGTTTTTTTGTAAACGTCTGGGCTGGGATAATTGGAACAGAGCCTACAGGTGGACTGGCAGCAGTGAAACCGTTGCCCCCACATTTTGTAAAGTCGCAGACAAAACGTAGTAACATAATAGATAGTCTACGCTTAATTTGCCAAAAAATTTAAGCGGTGGTTACTGCAGTTAAGTGTTAAAATAAAATGATAGGAGTAGCAGACGTAAAAAATTAGAAACTGTGTATAAAATTTTATCCAAAAATGTAAAAACAGTTAAAAATTTTGAGGGTAATGAACAATTAACGTGCTACAGAGGAAGTTGCGGCGATGATTTTACTTTATTGATAGCTATAACACACACCACATCTTTGTGTCCAAAAAACCTGCCGCATATTACACGCGCTCCCCCATTTTCGCAAAGCAGCGAGTTTTTAAAATAAACTGCGAGTTTCCCGCGGACGAGACACTCCCCATGAAGTTTACAATTTAATATCTGTTAGGGCAAATGACATAAGAGAAAAACCGTCAGGTTGAATTAGAAACCGTGTGTTCCACTTTCTCCGTCCTATCTACTTACAATAACATTTAATTTCTATCAATAATTTACATGATGTTAAATTATGCACGAATTCAAGTAATGGTTAAATCAAAATGAGTTCACGAATATTATTAAAGCCATCCCTTTTGTTTTTGAAGAAAATTTTCAAGGCTCTGAAAATAGATCAACTTTTTTAGTTTAAATGCCATAAATGAACTAAGTGTTTTAAATCTAGAGTGAGAAGTTATAAAGTGTGTTATACTTTATAATACAATAACTTAAATGAAAACATTCAGAACTTTTAGATATATCGTTAATTAAAATAAGTTGAGCTTGAAAATTGAATTTCCTGCCATGTGTTTTACAGGAACGTTTTCCATTATTGTAGCTAAATTATATTAGAACCCTAAACAGTTAAAAACTTAACATGAACTGTGGATTTACAAACAATGAAACCAAAATGGCACGCCTTGTTAAAATAGTCAAAGTTTAGAAAATCATTAATAACTTGATGTTACATTAATTACACTCGTTGAGGAGGATTGTGACGTCGAGTGAATCGCAATTAGATGTATCCTTAAACTTAACATGTGTTTTCATTGCACTCACTAAACTTAAGGCCGCCCTTTTGCGTTACCAACCCCTAAACTACCTACTTTCTAGTGGTGTTCAAATATACTTATATAGGACGTTATTTTGCAATATAAAACTATCCTAGTAGAAATAATGTACTTGTACTTTAATCCAGAAAATCTGCAAAAGTATGTATGTGAAAAGTTTCAACCTATTATATTCTAAGAGGATTTGATGTGGATTTAGTCATTCGACTTGACAGCATAGACAATGGAGTTGATGGTTGCACTGATGTATTATATTGAAGATAGGTGCTATTATACTGTTAGCCTAAATTGTTACCATACTGAGTCACGTCCCTGAATGTACCTTGTGTACACGCAAATCTCCTGAAAATCTTGACGCAAATGACATTTGTTTGTCATTAAGCTTTGTCCGCCACTGAAGATCTTAATTTAGTTACTATTGTTTATGGCACTACATGAAATCAAAGTTAGATACATCGGGTTCCAGTAGACAAAGCAGCACAAAAATGGACAACTTTTGCCAAAAGGACCAGACGTCTGTACTGGAGTAAATGGTGCTTGTGTTGACGATACGTTTCATATTTAAAATTTTGTTTTTGTTTATTTTTTTACCGTTCGAATATAGGCAAGACTTGACAAAAAAATTAATATCTTAGGGATCTGCCACAGTTTGTAGAATACAAAAATATCGGTCTCCTATTTGTGTAAAATGCCAATCAAAATGCGTCTATCCATATCCAGCAAAACATTCTTGACGTCCTTTCATTTTTACTTCCCGAACGTAATCGAGTCCGTTGGCCGACTTCCTGCTTTTATGTTTTCTCGACCTTTTATGACCCCTAGGATACGAAGAAATTGGTCTCATGTTTCCGTCTGTCTGTCTGTCTATCTGTCCATCTGAGCTTCTGCCGTCCCCGTTTATATTAGACAGATAATCTCCGAAAGTTCTGGGCCGATTGTAGTCAAATTTTGTACTTATATTAGGAATGTCATGTAAGGTCTGTCTGTTTTAAGAATTCCATAGTCTTGTAAAACCGTAACA